CCCCTCTGTCTTGAAAATAATTGATAATAACGCATAAATAATTAACACAAAGTACAAAGGAATACAGAGCTGGTCATCGCAGAATCGGCTAGAGACTTACTGATCAGCTTTGAGTTCTCAATTCATATTCCATACTGGATACTGGATAAATAATACAGCTTCCCTTGGGATTTTTTTGTTATTAATGTTTTTATTAAATGTTTTGGTGAACTAGATGGACAAAGAACACTGTCGAACCAATATTTTACTAAGATGATATTAATTTTGTGGAAGAACTACAGGTGTCACAACATTTTTGGCATTATATAATTTTCTTTTAACAGTTTCACTCATTCTTCCTTTAGGTTTCTGGAGAGAGAGATAGACACTATATGACCACTTAAATTAATTATTCGTTGAACAGTATATGAAGTAGTTCTTGCGTTCATTGATCTTACTAATGAAAATGTTATCTTTTCTCCTTGATTAGACAAAGTCCTTGTTGAATGGAGTTCTTTCTCAATTCCCATTTAGTCTGTATTTAAAATTCCATTTAGTGGATATTTATATATAATACCGAGGCATGCAACAGTTTTTTTCGTGTTTTTCAAAAAATGGTTTGTATTTTCGCAACAGCGAACTGTGAAATTTCGAAATCGAATGAGCCGAGAATGAAGTCTTCAAACTATAGTAAAATGCCGCAAGGAAAAGTACAAAAGTAACCCATCATTTCTGCCACACCCGTTACTAACAATCTGTTTTGAGCTAACTGTGGGTCAGATTAAACAGGACATTTTTGTTTCCTGGTTTGAGACATTAAAATCGTTTTAAAGCTCGGTTTTTGAGCTCATTCGATAGTGAATTCATTGTTTTGCAAAACTGTCGACCTTGTTTTTCAAATAAATTTTACTTCGAACTCAGACATATGAATACAACCATTCATTCAAGAATGTCGAATATTTTTAAAAGAACTTTTATTGTAAAAAGAAATGTATGTCTTATGTGGTTTTTCGAGATGGGATTAGCTTCGACGTTTCATTCTCTGAAACGTGTGCTGGACATGATGATTCAGCGGATTACGGCCACATTTTCATTTTGATTATTAGTCGATTTTTCGTTTGTCCTTTGCTCGGCAAGACGCGTCGCCAATCTGCGTAGCCTGGCAGCAGGGGTCTACGAAACTTGCGCACAAGAAAGTTACGCAAGGGTAGGTTGCGCACGCAATAACAAATTCTTATTTTACATTTATATTTATTACAAAATCCTAAGAATTTTAATTGCCATTATCGTTTATATACATGTAATTCTACTAGTGTTTATTAGTGAAATGAAAATATTGTATTATAGAATAATATTATATGCTATTGTGATGATTTGATCAATAATATTCTAATGGGGATTAGAAACAAGATTGAATGGCCGTTTATCTAGACGTTGATACTTTTTCTTTTTTTGAAATTTCTTCGTCGGCATTCACTCGTGCTGCTTTAGTATGAATATGGAAATCTTCCTCTAAAATTGTTTTTTCGATAAACTTCCACAGAGTGGGATATGAACATTGAAAAACGTATCCTGAAAAAGAGAAGTGTTCCTGAAAAAAAGCACATTCTTTTGAAGACTTACCAATATGTCTGTTCCACGCCTCGGCAGAAGTATTAGTTCTCATCTGTAAATTTTTCGTGCATATAATGTTAAAGGTGCGCTAATCTTAGCTGTAAGTGTCGATGTATATAAATGAAAATAACAACTAGAGAGACACGCTTGAGGAAAACTAGTTGAAAAAACATTCATAACCGCTTTTTCAAAGTCCAATACTATATTTTGTGGACTTTCTTAGCATTGAACCTATATCAATTTTTTTGTTGGGTACATAGTACTGTATATGGTCCAATAATATCTGCTCGAAAGCTGAACTCTTTCATTCATTTCAGTTATGAATGAGGACCTTTCTACAATAATCAAATCTAAACAAGTACCAGAAACATCTCTTGTCACTCCTCTAACTAACTGATACAAATCTTCCTGAAGAAAATCATCAACCAATTGTTAGTTCTGAAAATAATCAGTTATCTATTCAAAACGATTATTGTAGTTTAACAGATCCACCAGCATCGAATGAACATTGTTTTTTATTATCTTCTACTTGTTCTAGTAGTATTAATGATGAACATATTGATACTAGTGTACAAACACCTAGTTGTAATTATAGTGATTGTGAAAAAGAGGATAATGGTCGTTCTAGAGCTACATCAGAAGATCTTGTGGGCTGTGAGAAATTAATTAGTAATCTTTTATCTTTAAAAAAAGCTAATGAAAATATTGACATGCTTTTAAAAATGTTCAAGTCGACAAATAATTCAAAAGAATTATGTGCACGTGAAATATATACATTTTCTGATGGTATATTAAAAATTGTTAATGATTTGAGACTATGTTGTGAAATATATCTATTGGAATGTGTGAACAATCGCCCTCTCGATTCTGATTCATTGCAGACATGTTTAGAAAGAGATCCGGGTGCTTATGCAACTTTACTTCGATTTAGTAGTAATGAATTAAAGCATCTTATTGAACTTGGACCATTCCAACCACGTCTTTCAACATATCCTAAATTAACCAAAGCAAAGAAGAGTGAGAAGGACGAGATATGTATAGAATCAAATTCGAGAAAAACAACAAGTTTTCAAGCTAAATGGTATGATCATTATCCATTAATTAAATATAGCATATTAAAAGATCGAATCTTTTGTTTTGTTTGTCGTTTATTTGGTCATGGTCCAGGAGCACTTTGTGCTGATCCTGCTTGGACAAAATGTGGATTACAACAACAGGCTAGAATGAAAGGCAAAGATGGTAAATTAATTAAACATTTTCAATCGACTGCACATATTTCTGCTAATGAACGTTTACAAATGTTCAAAAAAGACGATTCACATGTCGATATTCAACTTGATAAAGGTAAGTTTTCATCACACTTTTTAATCATTTTTACTCCCAAAATCGGAATAGAAGTTATATACTTTAATAAACTGTTCTAGAACGTATTTATGTTAATCATCATCGACAAGAATTATTTAAATTAAATCGTTATATCATTTTGAGTCTTCTTGATGCAACGAAATTTTTAGCAGATCAATCATTAAGTTTTCGTGCTGAAATTGAATCTAAAGGTATAATATTCATACATCGAATATAAATAATCTACGATAAATAATATACTAAATTTTTCTTTGCAGGTAACTTCAATCAAATGGCTTCATTATTACGACGTCATAATAATACAATTGATAAATGGTATAATGATACATCGACAAGAAGTTATCAAGTAAGATATCTTAAAACTGATTGATATCATACGCCTTAGCTTAATGCAACTTTGTCTACGTTTTCTTTAGGTGACTTATTTAAGTAATGATGCTCAAAATGAATTCATATCCATTCTCGGTAAAACTGTACATGATTAAATTATCAATCGTTTAAATAAAAGTTTATTTTGGTCTACGATGGTTGATAGTACACCGGATATTTCTCATAAAGATATGATGTCAATTATCGTTAGATTTGTTGATGAAGATGGTGACGCTGAAGAACGTTTATTATATATTATTGAAATTAAGACTAAAACTGGAAAAAATATAGCTGATAATATGCTCCAAATATTTGCTAAACTTGGATTCAACATTGAAAGCACTAAATTCAATGTTGAATCTGTTATGCTCATTTAATCATGTGGTTTTAGGTCAGTCGTACGAGGGGGCGATGAACATGTCAGGAGCATTCAAAGGAGTACAAACAATAATTAGTGAATCAATAGGACGTGAAATTATTTTTGTTCCATGTTGTGCTCATCGATCGAATAAAATTGTTGAACATTCTACACAAAACAGTTTAGAAGCAACAAAATTTTTTGATTTATGTAATAAAATATATGTTTTTATAACTGGAAGTACAAAACGTTGTGCAGCTTTACGTGATATCTATTCAAATTCAATGAATGATGATACTTTATCGTTGAAAAAGTCAACAGATACTCGTTGGAGTTCACATTATAATAGTATTATTGCGATTTATGAATCATTTACTGGAATTATTCAGATACTTGATGAGTTATGTGATGATAATGACAAAACAACTAAATTTGAAGCAAATGCTATTCGTGATAAATTTGTTTCCTATGAATATTATTGTATATTATTATTTATAAAACATTTAATGTCAATGACAAATGCATTGACAACAACATTACAAGATGAAAATTTAGATATATTATTAGCTATAGATACATTAACAAAAACTATATGTTTATTAAATAAAATAAGAAATGATGAAGATTCTATAAATAATCTATTAGAACTTGCTAAAGAACGTATGATAAATTACGATGTAGATGCTGATGCTGCATTTGGTAAAACACATCGACGTCGTTTAAGAGCATTGTAAGAAATTTAGTTTTACTTTTTGCTCGTATCGATTCGACTTTGGATAGTTTATGTCACATTAAGGTTAAAAACTTCAAAGCAGGTTAAATAAGTTTAACATATGATTTGTTATTGACTGAGTAATTTTGTATCTGAATTCCAAATAATTATAATAATCGCATTAACGATACCTTTCAGAGGAATTTGTTAAAGCAAAAACTTGCTCTAATATAGCTCTCGGATATATGCAACGCCTTTGTCGTATAAAAATCTTCATTTTGTTTCAGTTCGAAATGTAATAAGAAGTTGTAGATTTAAATCAAACAATTATTTGAGAAATAAAAAGAACGTAATAACAATATATTAAAATAATATTGTATTTTTAGACGAATTGATTCAAATGCTCATAATGAAGTGATTTTGTCTAGGTAAATATAAACTAAATACTATACACATAAATGATGGAAAAGTGCTTTATTGTTTTTTTAGACAAACATATTATAGAAAAATATTTTATCAAATCATTGACCAATTGAATAATGAATATACTGATTTATTACATACATTAGAAGAAAAATTAAAATATTTTACTTGTTTATGACCATCAAAAATCAGTAAGAAACTACTCTTTCATAGAATTAATATTTATTATGATCATTTTTGTTAATTTACATTAGATGACTTTCGGATAGAAGATGCTGAACAGATTAAAATTATTGTTCCAGGTATTGATAGTGGTGATTTATTATATTATGATGTTCAATCATTAAAAGAAAACTTACAAGAATGTTCGTCAATTAAAAATATTATGTTCGTGTTTTTGAAGAACAATTACAAATGCTTATATCCACGTTTATATCGTGTTTATACATTTATACTAACATTACCCGTAACTGTTGCATCAAACGAAAGAACATTTAGTCGTTTAAAATTAATAAAAAATCATTTACGATCAAAAATGTTCGATGCTCGGTTAATGAATTATTACTATGTTCATCAGAAAAGGACGTATTAGATTCTTTAAATTTGGATGAATTAGTTACTGTTTGGGGAACAAAAGCAAAAAGACGTCTTTCGATTTAATGGACACTTGAACTTCATCTTGACATCTATCGTTCTCATTTTTCTTTTTTCTTTCAAGCTTTTATTTCATTTCTATTTTTGTTGAATTACCTGAAAATCGATTGTGTTGTTTGTTTATGATAGAAATTTGCTAATGTTGATAAACTACAGGTTATTCTTTATGTTGAACTTAAATAATAAAGAAGCGAAAATATGGAAAATTAGAACAACTATTCGATAATATTATAACATTATAAACTAAAATACGAATAAATGATCTTTCTGTAGATTGATGAGAAGATTATATGCATAGGTTTAGAACAAAACTATCAAAAATTGTTAGTTTTTCAGAGTGCTCGTTTGAAAAACCGACTACCAGAAAAAAGATCATATGATGTGGATCTTCACTATTGTAAAATGTATTCACATAAAATACTAGATAGGTTTTCAAAATCACCTGCTGTTGTTTTGGAGGGTCAGTTGAAGTGAAGCATGCTAAATCAGCTTTTAGGTTTGAAATCAATCAGACATCTTCTCTATACTCAGCTTTCAATGTTGAATTCAAAAAGAGCAGTTTCAAAGCTTGAAAGTAAAGAGAAAATGGAAAATTTCAGTTTCTTTTTAAACTGCAACGATTTTGAGCAGAATTGGTCCATTAAAGTTTCTCAAAATTTTCACTCTGAAATTATTTTTTCAAAACTTAAAACTAACTTTTTCCTACTCCGCTCGATGTCCTCTCTCCAAATCGAATATAAATATATCAAACAGGAAAAGTCATGGAAACTTCGAATTACGGGCCAAACCATACCTCAGAATGTAAATTTTTTTAAGCGTTTTTGCCTGTCGCCTTCGAAGTTATAGGATTTCAGAGAACAAAAACCTCGGTTCTTCAGGGATTCTTCACTATTTTCGCTATAACTTTGGAAGCAAACATGATAACATGGAATCAAAAATTTAGATTCTGAGATATGAGCACAGATACCCTGTATAAAATTTTCAGCTCGATCCGATGAAATTTTAGGCGGATCGTAATGTGCACAAGTTAAAAAACCAAGGTTTTTCATGTTAAAAACATCTGAGCAAAAATACATCTATTTTCTTCTTCGACGTCCTAGTTGTCAAGTCAGTCTGACGCCTGGTGTCAATTCTGCAATAAGGTGAAAAAAAGACGAAGGGTTTTTGCCTAAATTTTATTTTTCTCATTAGCGCTTTTTTTTCAACCAATGAGAAAAATAAAATTTAAGCAAAGACCACATAGATTATGTCGACAGCAGAAAAGAAGTCAAAGTATAATTATAAGGAACCCGCTGTCGGATTCACGGAAAAAGCAAAAGTACATAATTTTCTAATGTTATCAATGTACTACATAATTCTTGTATAAAAATCTGTGACGTAAGAGCTTCTTTAATCGTCTGAGATAGGTCCCCCATTGATGATAATGATATTGTAGTAACTGGTTGGATAGACTTGATCTTTTTATCGGTATTATCACTATTAAAAGGTGGTGAATGACCTTTTTTCATGAGATAGTTGTTATCGTTGCATCTCCGATACACAATGGGTCACTTATTCAGAAAAAACACGCCCTTCCACCATGAAAAAAAGAGAATTAACTTAACAAGAGCTTAACATTCTTGTTTTTATAAATTTTTGATTTAACCTACATCTGATATAATGGACTTCCGCGTCGGAGTAGGTGGATTAGTTTGTCTTTCCCAGTTGCAATAAAGCTTAAACCAATTTATGTGTGCTTTCGAAGTTTTTTAGAAAATCCTGTAAAAAGATCCAACGAAGATTCTTTGAATTTGGAGAACTTCTACATTTATCAACGTGCAAAAGCATAAAAAGAATAATTCTGTTTATTCAGATAGTTTTTATTGCTGTTAAAACGTAGCACCCTATACTGAATTTACAAGTTTTTTTTGAAAATAATAGAAAAACATCGCAAACATTCTATAAAGATATATTATTTTTAATTGTTTTTGACTCAAATCCTGCCTATAATAAACCATCAGCTTTCATTTTTTCCAACAATAGATCTAACTCTTTGTAGTTGTAGACATTAATTAAAGCAGCTACTCCAGTGATAGCTGAAGCAGTAAACATTGTACACTTTGCTGCCGAACTTTGACTACCAAAACCCAAGCCTGCAAATGCAAGAGCCATTATTCCTTTTGCACTTGCCCCAAGTAGTTGCCGATCTCTTAATGATATTACTTCCTCTTTAATTTCTTTTAATCTTGTTATTCGGAATTGTTCTGGTAATTCTAATGCAGTCAGCAATTGTTTGCTATATTTATCTTTTAATATCATATCATTCATGGAATCGAGTAACGCTAATATGGAAATTGCTACTGCTGCGCCTGATATTATTGATGAATTTTTATTGTAAGATTTTAATAAAGTATTCACTGCATTAATTAATTGTTCTCTATCGATTTCTTTTATCAATGCTTTGACAAGTGTAATAACTGATTCTGCCGACATTATTAAAAGTAGTGAGTTATTCTAAAATGAGAGAAAAATTTTTGTTCAATAGGGATCGGTCAAATAGGATGAGTGAATAAATGACTGTGACTCATCGTATGCCAACATGTAGACTATTAGCTATCAAGTATTCTGTTTCTTCTTTTCTATTCTTTTACTTTGAATCGACCTATCATCTTTTTTTCGTTCGTCGCGTACCAAAGCAGTTTTGCATAAACTCTCCTGTCTTTTAGAAAAAAATACAACAGAGAGAGAAGCATCGTGAAATGGCACATGCCCCGCATTGAGAGAAACAGTCTCGCATTTTCATAACCTGATCTTCATTAAGATTTTCAAAAGATACATACTATGTCTGTAGTGTTTCTCCCTGAACAAATCACAACACAAAAAGAAACGGGAAATAAGTTTATGAATGTAAATATTGCATTAGGCTTCTTTATCATCCAAAAGAAAAAACTTATGGAAGATAATGAAAATCAAATAATAGTATTTTGTAATGCTAACAATGAACAGCCGAGACCATATCTTTTTATTTCGACACTCTCATAAAAACAACAGATAAAAGTTTCTTTTATAGGATTCCCATTGAGTCAACCTTTTTCATCAATTGCAGTCATTTTGTCGTCTTTTTCCTTGCTATACTATCTTATATCGATCTCACAAGGGAAGGCCTCCAACTGTCTAATCACTTTTTTTACCAAATCTAGTGGATTATAGGTAGTCGACCATGCTGATTCCGAATATGAGCTATCATTTTCGCCGATAGGCCTCCAGAGGGTCTGGAAAACTACTTTATCAGAAACTCTAAAAAGTAACCAAAATCTTTCTTAATGAGACAGGATTGTAGCCTGCATCGCTTTCTTGGTGAATAGATTTTTCTTTTGTTTTGTTTTGTATGAATGTCCATCACGAAGCTCTCTTTAATAGTTCTTTTTATAAAATGTGATTCAACTGCAAAAATTTCTGGATTCCAGTTAGTACGATGACACGTGTCCAAACAATGAACAGCTGTCCTAGAAAATCCTGTTCCATAAAAGGCATTTTGGTGTTCTTCTTTTCTTATTGTTACTCCTCTCGCTCTCTGTTCTATATAACTGTTCGTACAGCCACAGCAATCATATTTGTAACCCACCCTCTTAACGTATCACGAATTGATCTGCTAAAGACAGATGATATTGTGTGTACAGCTTTAAATCCGAAAGTCACCTTTTTCAGTGGACTTTGCAGAAGAAGTTTTAATTTATTTGCCAAAACTAATGACGATATACTGTAGTAAGGAAATGAAATGTAGCATTGTCTAATGTTTGAAGGTTGAAGAGGCTTTTGTAAGTTCTTATTCATTTTTATCCCTCTTATCGTCTACTTCACAATGTTCAACGGATAACCATTAGCACTAAAGATTCTTGTATAGTATCGTAGTTCTCTTTCAAACAGTTCATTGGTAGAACAGATCCGTTTTGCCCTGATACACAAGCATTTGATCAGGTTTATTTTATATTTTCTAGGCTGATTACTTGCCCAATTAAGATATAGTCCACTATGAGTGGGTTTTCTATATACATAAGTAATCAGTTCATCATTGAATCGTTCAACCATTACATCCAAAAATGACAGCTGATTACTATTTTGCACTTCTACCGTAAATTTTATATTTGGGTCTAGTTTATTGATATATTTTACTAGAGCATGAATGTCTTTCTGGGTTCCATGAATAATAGCAAAGATATCATCAATATATCTCAAATAGAGATCTGGCTTTTTACCTGTATAATTGTCTATTTTCTTTTCGAATTCATTCATGAATAAATTTGCCATAACAGGGGCAAGCGGACCACCCACTGAAACTCCGTTGATTTGGTCATAGTTTTTACGGTCAAATATGAAATTTGTCCTTTTTGTACAAAAATAAAATAGCTCACGTATTTTTGTCATCAATTATCAATTTTGGATGATACTGACGAATCTTTATCATGGCTAGCTCGATAGACTTTTCTAATGGCACATTAGTAAAGAGAGACGATACATCTAATGAGAACATTATACCAGTAATATTTTTATTCACGTGAATTTTATCCACGAAATGGAAAGTATCTTTTACGTAAGAACGATCATCTTTCATTGCAGGTAACAATAAATCAGCAAGATAAATCGCCGTTCTATAATTGTATGCATCATAACTGGAGATCATAGGTCGAACCAGCTGATTCTTTTTATGTACTTTCACAAGAAAATATGCTTCTGGTGTTCGGGATCCCGTATTTGGACGCATACTCTTATAATCGTCTTTTGTGATCATTTTTTTGTTTTTTAATTTCAGTAGAAATGCAATGAATTGTTTTTCACGCTCCTCCGTAGGGTTATCATTTAACAGTTCAAATAAACGTTTGTCAGCAAGTAAAGAATAACCTTTTTTATAGATAGTCCTCTTTATCCAGAACCACTACGGCATTACCTTTATCAACTTTTGAAATAACAATCGATTTATCATTACTAAGCGTTTTAATCGCTTGAATTTCATCATTAGATAAGTTCGGAATATCATATTTCCGCGTTCTTATAATGCCATTGCCAAATTCATTTAATATACTTTTGATTTTTGAAATATTAGACTTATTAATCAATGAATTTCTTTGCATACAATGATACATATACTCAATATCAGTTTTAACAATCAATGAGCTCATAGGCTTTATATTGATTGCATACTTCCAACCACGCGACAGTACACTTTCTTCTCCTTTTGTAAAAGCACGATAAGAATAGTTATACACTAGTTTTTGCTGAAACTCGCGTTTATCTACGGGTATCTTCAGATGTCTTTTGACTAAAGACGAAGCGTCTCTAACAGAAAATAGCGATATTTTTCATTATGATAAAGGTGGTTTATACCTTATTCTCTATTTCGAAAGTTCTCACCTTAAAAAATGCTTCGAGAGCATAAAATGATCACAAATGCGCACAAAGTGATAAAAGTATTTAGCAAACTATGACAAAATGAACAAGAAAGAGAGAAAATAGGTGGCGAAATTTCATGAAATTCACTTTTTGATCATAACAATATTTTGTACTAAAATGTCTCATCGACATCTTTCTTTCAAAGCTTATATTCTGTCAGTTGTATAGTCAAAAAATATATATTTTCAGTTTATTTCTCTCTCTCTCTCTCTCTCTCTCTAGAAAAAGTGGACTTTTTCACAGTATTGTTTAGACCGGGAAAAATATCTCTATTAGTCATACATTTTAAGTATACATATGTCTCGTTGTAAGAAGCATGATGATGTGATAAAAAAAGTAGTAACGAAAAGAACATGAAGTGCGTTTTTCTCCTAAAAACAGAGAACGAAATGAGAAAACAAAACGTTCTTTTTATTTTGTCAATAGAAAAAAGAATGGTTCTTTTTTCTTCTATGGTAAATCTGAAAATATTGGGTTATGATGAGTAAAGAAATCATACGCGTAGATATACATTAGACCTCAGATAGAGATATAGGTATATCTCAGATATATGTCTATTGAGATTTGACTGAACAAAATGCGAGCTTGTAACTGTTCTCTTTCCGCTTTTTCTTCTACAGAGAAAGAAAACGTGACAAATGTGAAGCAAACCGACATATCTGAATGCTAGAGGTCTATTCACTTTAATAGGAAAAATAAATTTTTAATAAGAATAATAGGACTAAAGTCACCTTTTTATTCATACTATACGAAGGAGTTATGGTTATACAGTATTGGTTTTCACCTTACGAAATAATTCTTCAAAAATAAATTTTAGACAAAAATTACTGATTTTAAAAGAAGAAATTCACGTTTTCACTGCTTTTTTATAGATAAAAATGCATCCATATGACAAATATCAAAGTCAAATTACTCAAGCCTTGTCTTATCCCGATAACCTTCGTCCAAAACGATTACATGAAATTAAAGATGAGTTAGAATCATTGAAAAATAGAGAAATAATTATGGGCAGTTTAAAAACCATAGGTATGATTGCATTTATGGTATTCTTTTGGAAATTTTCACCTACCAAAGCAGGTCCTATGCCGCCTCATCATCCGCCATCACCAACTGATCCAATTTCATCATCGAATGGTCGTGTTATTCGTGGTTTATTATTAGCTGCTGCTGCCATTCTCTTATATTCTGGTGGAAAAAATTATTTTAATTTCCAAAAATTCAACGTTTTAATTCGAATGTTAAAGCGAGATCATAATATCTAAGAAACATGCATATTCTTGTGTTTGTTTAATATTTTTCTTTTTTATACTGTAGTTATATTAACCTACAAGTCATTTCTAATAAATGAGGTAGATTTTGATTTGTGTTCATCTAAGAAAAGTGTCTTTTATTTTGCTAACAGGAAGAATAATATTCACCGTTGAATAGCTAGGGTTAGGGCTGCGACACTTATCGTTAACACCATTACTTGGTAACGGTAACTACTAAACAGTTGGCGTTCCTGGTAACGCTAACAGGTAAGGAGTTACCGTTACAAGTAAGATAAGGACCAGTTACGGCAACAGTTCAGTATATCATTCAAGAGTCAAATCTCTGAAAATATACGTGACAGTCATTTGTACCTGATCGACCTATATCCTATCATCGGGTTATCCACTATATATGAAGAAATCTCGGTGATGGCTATCCAGATCAAGCGAAGACTACTATCGGTGCAAGAAAACAAGGCAGATGGTTGCTTTTTGCATAATCTACCTGCAACCACTACCCTAAATACCCTCAATAACCCAAATATTCTAAATATCCCAAATATCCTAAACACCCTACATATCCTAAATATCGTAAACATCCCAAATATGCCAAATATCCCTAATACCCTAAATATCCTAAATATCCCAAATACCCTACATATCCTAAATACCCTAAATATTCTGAACATCCCAAATATGCCAAATACCCAAAATACACTAAATATTCTTCATATCTCAAATATACTAAATACCCTCAATACCTTAAATATTCTAAATATTTTTAGAATCCTAAATATCGTATCCCAAATATCTTAAATATCCCAAGCATCCCAAATATCCTAAATATTCTAACTACCCTAAATACGCTAAATACCCTAAATATCCATCCTATCTAAACATCCTAAAAATCTTAAATATCGTAAATATCCGAAACATGCTAAATGCCCTAAATACGCTGAATACCCGAATATCGGCAATAGGTGACCGTTACCGTTAACACCGTTACTCCGTAACGGTAACTACTAAAGACTTGGCGTTCCTGGTAACGGTAAGGGGTAAGGAGTTACCGTTACAAGTAACGATAAGGACTAGTTACGGCAACAGTTCAATATATCTTTCAAGAGTCAAATCTCTGAAAAAATACCTGGCAGTCATTTATACCTGATCGACCTATAGTATATTTGGGATATGTACAGTCTGTAGTGTATTTAGGATATTTAGGAGGATTATTTTTATAGGAAAAAGAGGTCGAACTCTATAGAATAAGATCGAATTAGTTTTGTAAAATCTGGTTGAATTGGTGAACCGTTAGCTAAGGACTGTGCACTAAAGTGTACCGTTTTACATTAATAGTGTTTCAAACATATATTGTAGTCAAAATTAGAGTCTAGTCAGATTTTGTCAGCAACACATAGTTTATTTTTTTATAACCATGTTTGAGTGGAATCACTTGCGAGTCTTTGTGACTCACAAAGGCACATAAAATGATCACAAATGCGCACAAAGTGATAAAAGGTCATTTTACTCACTGACACATAGTCACTTTTGCGTTCTGTTTTCTCTTGCCGATAGATCACGTTATAAAGAGAGGAAACAGAACATTCTTTTACAATGTAATCTATCGGCAAGAGAAAACAGAAAGCAAAAGTGACTATGTGTGAGTGAGTAAAACGATCATGTCACAACAAGATCATGTTTTTTCCGTCAGGAAATCGGTGTGTCTCCATAAGAACTTCATACTTTTTCCTCAAGAAAGCACTGTTTGTCCACAAGAAATTTATGTTTTTGCCGGACGGTCCTCCTGCACAAGAACTTCATCCTGCAGAAGTCGGTGTTTCGCCACAAGAACTTCATGTTATTCCGGAAGAAATCGGAGTTTGTCCACAAGAATTTTGTGCTTCTTCGTGCAGAAGTCGGTGTTTCTGCACAAGAAATTCGTGTTTTTTGTTGAAGAAGTCGGTGTTTCTCGACACAAGCCTTATGTGTGTTTTTGCACTTGAACTTAATGTTTCTTCCTGAAAAAATCGGTGTTTCTCCACCAGATATTCATGTTTTTCCGCGCAGAAGTGTCCTGATGAACTTCATGATTTTGGCTGTAAAAATCGGTGTTTCTTCACAAGAACTTCATGCCTATTCCTCAAGAAATCGGGACGTCTCCACAACAGCTTCATGTATTTGTCTTCAAGATACCTGTTTTGGTCCACAACAACTTCTTGCTTCTTCCTGAAGAAATGAGTGTTTGTCTACAAGAACTCCATGATTTTCCCTGGAGAAATCGCTGTCTCTCAAGAAGAACTTTGCAGAAGAAACGGGTCTTTCCGCAAAAGGACTTTTCAAGAATGCTTTTTCTGCAGAAATCCGTGTTTCCCCACAAGAAGTTCATGACTTTGCCTGGAGAAATCGGGGTTTCCGCGCAAGAAATTCATGTTTCTCCGTCGAGACATCGGTGTGTCTCCACAAGACCTTCATTTATTTGTCATCGAGAAATCGGCATTTGCCACAAGAACTTGATGATTTGTCATCAAGAAACCAGTGATTGTCCATAAGAAGTTCATGTTATTCCCTGTAGAAATTGATGTTTGTCCACAAGAACTTCTTGCTTTTTCCTGA